CTAGAGGGGGCTCCTGCCCCTCCGGCCGCTCCCGCACCGCCGCTGCCCGCCCGCGGAGGGGGAACCTCCTCCTCCGAGCAGCCCCGGGGGCAGGCAGAGCAAACAACCAAACACCCCAGCCTAGTAAATACTGATGGTAGCGATGAAAGAAATGGAGAGGATGTTTTTAACTGAGTGGAAATGCAGGGAGATGCAGTGAGGAAGGTTAACACATGGGCAAAGCGTTCCCATGAGAATAGAGATAACTGCTATCTGGGAGCTCTTAGCAGAGACAAGATCCTCTGTGCTGTTCTGTGGACAATCCACGAGACTTGTGGCCTCAGTGCTTTTTTACATCACCTACTTTGTAACTTGCAGTTGAAAAATTTAAAATATTGTCCTCAGCAACTGCTGCGAGGAGGCTACAACAGCAAATGGAAGGAGAGATGTCCACGTGGTTGCTCACTACTGGGAAGTCTGAGAGTCCTGCTGCCGTCTTTTTTACACCAAAACCTTGTTCTGGCCTGTTCTGACATCCTCTCAGGTAATCCAAAACATCCCGATGGGGGTCCACACTGCTGCACAGCACTGCTCCTCAGCTCTGAGCCAAAGGGAGCCCACTGAAACATCCAGAGGTGAGGGCATCCTCCCCGTCCCTGCCTTGGCACCACTGCAAGAAAAATTAGCAAGAGTCACAACAAACTCTCACAACCTGGGACGACTTCTTGGAACTAGACCATTGGCCAGACACAAACACAGCTGTTAAAGTGATTTATGGTCTTCAAACACAAACATCCTCATTTCGACAACACACGTGCATAACTCAGTTTCACACTTTCCCAACTGCCACGTGCCACTGGGTAAATATTTTGTGTCACACTGAGTTTCTCTAGTACCTCGCGCTGCTTGTGAAGCACAGTGGGCTTTCCCCAGCTGTGCCTGGACTGCCACCGGGCTGGACTAGTGGCCAATGCAATTGTCTTTTGACTCTTCCAAGAACTTTACAAGCACCAGTTAGTGCAGTCTCCCAGTTCTGCAGGATGGCTGCAACCAATTAACATTATAATGATCACTGAATTTTACTGTAGCTATCTGTGTTGCAGTAGGAAATTCCCATGTTCTGGATGTGTGCCCACACTGCTGCTGTGGACTGTCTGTTTGGGGTTGTTTTTCTCTGGATTTTTTGCAGGTTTTTGCCAAACAAACGGCCCTCGTTCCTTCAGGCTATCGATAAACACCTTCAGGCAAATTTTCTTTTAAGACCTAAATTACCTCCCCCAAGAGGGGAGTGGTTTCAGGTGGAGGCTGGGAGGAGGGATGATTGCAACACAAAAGAGCGAAGGAATACGGGAGGGAGAAGAAACTAATCTCACCTCGAAAATCCCCGTTTTACAGACAGAGGTGAGCTGGGCTGGCTGCACCTCGCCTTTCAGGGGAAGGGCAGGAGTGCTCTCCGACTCGGTGAAGAAGGAAGGAGTGAGTACTCATAGGCTAAGCTGCGAGAAAGGAATTTGCCCTGCTGGGAAGGCTTTGAGAAACTCATCTTTCACCCAGTTATTGAGAACCTGGAACAAGTTTCTCTTTCTGGCACTGCTCAACCTGTGCAGCACGGACTTGTCTTCCCGATGCATGGCCCCAGCTGGCTGGGTGCTGTGCTCTTCCTGGGGGTGCAGCTCCGAGGTAAGGAAACCTGGCCCTCTCTTGCCATCTTCACTTTCCTTTTCTGATTCCTTAATTATCATCCTCATTAAGGCAGTGACTTTCCAGGAGTCTCGACTACTTGTTGTGGATGATTTCTGCGATTCTTTCGTCCGGGGTTCACTGGAAGTGGCACGAAGTGATTGAGTTTCTTCGACAAACAGGTTTAGGTGTGTTCAAGCGGAAGAAGAACACTGATCTCATTCTGAGCTCTGGTTACGCATCTTTTTCTCTCCTGCCAGGAATCTGGACTTTACTCCTGGGTGTTTTTTTCACTATCTTTGTTACTAGACAATCGGAGATTGTTAAACAGCGCTGGGTTTAGATCCTTCACCCAGAGCGACAATAACCTGCCTTGAATTTTCGGTGGTTTGTATCGGTAGGGCTGGAAGCTAAGACCACCTTGTCCTCCCTTCCCAAATCCATCAGCACATGATAATCTGTCTTGAAAAAAAGTATTTTACACTTCTTTCCCACAGTTGTTCTTATAAAGGAGTTTTAGATGAAAAGATTTGGCACCAAATCTTTGGATGAGAAACATGATCTCTGCCAATGAAGTTTTTCAAATGTGAACACCTCCAGGGTTTTGGCATTTCAAGTATTTTCTCCTTTAAGGAAAAAAAAATAATTTGTCAAGGAAGTCTTTGGTTATAAATTATTTTCAAAAACAGTAAATGTATTGATCATCTTTATTATGAAGTTATATTTTGCAACCCCAGATAAGCTTTTTTTTGCTTGAATCACGCTAGGGTGAGGCAACTCATTTTCTTAAAGTAACAGGAAATTATTAATATTTTATTTTTCTGCTGGGTTTGTTTGATCAGTGAGTAAGAGGGAAACTAATGGGAGCACATGATCAGAAGAGGGAGGACTGTCCCTTTCAGCAGCAGCAAGGTTTTTGGCTCAGCACTGCTGTTTTGTGAAAACTAAGCCCCTAACTCAGGGAGCTAAAGCGGACTGGCAAGAAACACAGTGATTGTGTGGAAAAAAAGCAAGAACTCACAGCAGCACCGCTTTGGTAGCACTGATCTGCCAGACTGATGCGACTTGAATGGCAGGGCAAGGCAGAGGACAGCTAGGGCTCAGGCATGAGAGGCACCTTCACCAGCAAGCCTTTGGGTTTCCTATTTTTCATTTTTCTTCTTTCTGTGTCTTGATGCTCTGTCTCTTGCTGCTTGTCTCTCCTTCAGGGTAGTCTTACTGGATGCTAGCTTATTTTCAGAGTGCAGCTGTGGTGGTTTGGTTAACAGAGGATGTTTCTTTGACAAACAAATGCTTACAGATTTACCTTGAGGATTTCCTGTAGAGTTCCTCAGCCGGAGTTCATTTGACTATAGCTGTCCAGCTGGGCTATTAACCTTCTAACAGGCACTTGGTACATCAAAAAGAGCAGTTTTAACCACGGTGTGTATGACACTGAGGCTGAGAATTCAAAGTGTATGAAAGGAAGGTTCTAGCATGGAAATAGAAACTGTTTATTGGCGCTCAGCAGTCCTACTTGCGAGGGCAACACAGCTTTTCTGAAGAAATCTGCCTGGGGAATTGAGTGCAGTAGTGTAATCACTTGTGAAAATGTGACCAGGACCAGCACAAGAGAAGTTCCATTAGTAGCAGTCAGGAGCAAGTGCAGCTTTCAGGAGGGGTGGCATTTACAACAGCATTGTATCTCCTAGATGTCAAGTTTGCTCATGCCTGCAGAGACACATCTCCCCCCAAAACAAAGCCTGTTGTCCCTATAGGCAAGTCCTTCTCAGGGGGCCTCTCTCAGCCAGTTATCAGGTCTGTAAGTGTTTAACTATGCAGAACTACAAAGAAAGCCCTGTACTGGCAGTTCAGATGAGTGCAACCTCCCATGAAACCAGCACTGTGCAGCGTGCCTATCGACTGACAATCTCCTCGAAGCACAGGGGATCTCCTGGATTCTGCATACGCAGGATCACCCCCCCGCAGTAATTACATCTGTGTGTCAGGTTAAACATTGGCAGGACAGATAAGGCAGGCTCCTGCACAGACTAAATGCCGATAAGGAGAAGTGATGAGCTGGCTCCTAGACAGTAGTTGTCTTTACCTCTAATCCCTGCTGTTTTCCCCGCAGCACTGTGGCCCGCTGGAGCTGTGGAAGTTTACACTTCCAAGGAGGTGGACGCTGTGAACGGCACTAACCTGAGGTTGAAATGCACCTTTTCCAGCAGCAGCCCTGTCAGCCAGGAGCTGTCGGTGACCTGGAACTTCCAGCCCGAGGACCTGAGCTCTCATGAGCCAGTGAGTGAGACCTTTACGCTCCCGTTTCACGGATGCACGCTTGCCCAAACAGACCAGTCCCAAGGCCCAGCACTGGGTAAGCCCAGTGACTGGGAGAATTCCAGGCGTGGGCACGGGCAAGCGCGGCTGTGCATCTGAAATGTCCTCAGAGTTCATCTGAGCAATGGGGCCACGTGCCTCAGCCGGAGCCACGCCACTTCCACATGCTGCTTCCGTCGCAAAGGCTGCCCAGTGTGGAGGAGTGGCAGCCTTGTAGGTACTTTATTACCTGAAGGAGCCCTACAAGCCTCCCGCTGGGCGGTTTAAAGAGCGAGTCACCTGGGATGGGAATATTGAGCGTAATGATGCTTCCATCATTATCTGGAATTTGCAGCCCACCGACAACGGGACGTTCACCTGCCAGGTGATGAACCCACCAGATTTTCATGGCGCGATTGGTGAAGTGCGACTCAGAGTCGTGCAGAAAGGTGAGGCCAAGAATCCCACCAGAGGTCGCGTGGGTTTAGCCAGTGCGAAGCGTTGGTGGGTCTTCCTCCACGTTTGGGAAAACATATGGAAGAAATGGGATTATAAAGGGAATGCATGAGGTTAAATGGATACAAGGAAAAAAGGAGCCTGAGGAAAAGTTAGATTCTTGGATACAGGTTCCCAGCCTCACAGCAGGAGCCCCCTGCGTGTCTCTCTTGTTCATTTATCTTTTTCTCTCTGCACAGTGCATTTCTCAGAAATCCACTTCCTGCTGGTGGCCATTGGGTCCGCCTGTGTTCTGATGATCATTGTGGTGACAGCCGTGATCATCTGTCGGCACCGTCGGAAGAAAGCGCAAGAGAAGATCAAGGTGGCAGACACTGAACTGTAAGGACTGAGGAGAGAGAGGAAGGCTTCTGGGAAGGCTGGTCAGATGTATCTGTGTAGCTAACCTGACACTGTGGTCACCACATATGTAGCATGCTTATTATCTTATCATACAACTTCTTGTTATATGTTATATATGTTAAATGTAACTCAGAACATGACTCTGCTGCTCAGGATATCTGATGCTAATTTGGGCTTTTTTTTTTCTTTTTTTCCTTCCCTTTTTTGTAACAGTAGAGAAAAGGAGAATCTGAAGGTTAGAGAAGAAAAGGAAGCCATTCCATTAGAAGACTAGAGGTCTTTGGTGGTATATACAACGCAGGTATCCATTCACACATTTTCTAATTAATGTCTCGGTGTTACTGCAGACAGTTTTACTCCGATATGTCACTTGTATTGGCAGTCAGCAGGCCATGGTAGCAGAAACAACTGAGACTGCAGTCACACTATGCTCTTGAGGAGCCTTCAGAGAGAGTGACACCTGAACAGGCAGTGGAGACAGAACTGCCTCTGACCTGTAAACAAGATTTCTCCGCCCTGGTGTTGGGGATCATCTGTAGGAAAGCCGTTGTTGCTGCGTTCCATGCCTGCTTTGTGGATAAAGAGGAATGAATTAATTTCCTTTCACCAGTTTTGAGTGTGCTTTATTGTTTTAGAATTTGTAAACTTTATTGTTTTAGAATTGCTACAGGAAGACTGAAACTGTTTCCCGACTTGCTGGCTTTGATGAAACATTTCAGCATAATTTTTACCCACTCCATTTCTGAGGTCAGCAGTTACCTCTGCTATTTTGGTTCTCAGCAATAACCCTGAGTAATGAATTTGTTTTGTTTTTTCTTACAATATTTCTTCTTAGGTACTTCCAAAGCAGATGGTGAAAGCTTGTAATTTGGGATGTTAGAACAAAGCTGAATTACAGACGCCTCACGCTGTGAGTGCGGGATCCCTGCTCAACTGGAAATTCTTGCAAGGAAAGAGGATGATATTAACATAAGTCGTAAATTTCCTTCGCTGAAGCAAAGCAGGGGCAATCTGCCCCATGGACTTACCTTCATCTTCACACCTGCAGACTGTGGAAAAAAAAAAGCTGCTCTAAAGATGACAAAAATCCAAAAGATTTGAACAAAAGGCCAGGACAGCTGGCTGAACAGACATAAGTGTGTGAGTGGACACACTCTTGCACCTTAATTGCAAGATGCATGTGTGCTACTCTGTTTTTCCTCCGTCAAAATCTTCTTCAGCCTCACAAAGAGGAAGCCTACGGGAGGGATCAGAGGAGCAGCCACTTGCTGCAGCGTACTTTAACTCTTTGCTGCTTTAAATGGGAAGTATTACAGTTGGGGAATGGATGCTGTTTCTTGTTAGGGGTAACATTTACCCGTGGGTGTGCTTTTCATACCGGCCTCTTGCAGCTTCAGTAGGCTTTGTAACTACGGTAGCTGAGGACACTGCCTTCTGCTGCACAGCCATGTGCTTCGCCAGCTCCCCTCCTCGTCCCGCTCTGACCTACTTCCCTCGGGCTCCTGGTTCCCGCCACGCTTCCTTCCCCACCTCGGCAGCAGCCACGCTCCACTCTGTGTGTCCCAGTGCCAGCCATGGTGGGAGCAGCTTCCCCGGGTAGGCTTTGTAACTACGGTAGCTGAGGACACTGCCTTCTGCTGCACAGCCATGTGCTTCGCCAGCTCCCCTCCTCGTCCCGCTCTGACCTACTTCCCTCGGGCTCCTGGTTCCCGCCACGCTTCCTTCCCCACCTCGGCAGCAGCCACGCTCCACTCTGTGTGTCCCAGTGCCAGCCATGGTGGGAGCAGCTTCCCCGGGCTCCCAGCATGGCCTCAGGCTCCCACCAGCAGCCGTGTCCCCTTTTCCCCGGGTTTTTTGCCCCTCAGCACGGTCTCAGGCTCCCACCAGCAGCCGTGTCCCCTTTCCCTGGGTTTTTTTCCCCTTAGCACGGTCTTGGCTCCCACCAGCAGCCGTGTCCCCTTTTCCCCGGGTTTTTTTCCCCTCAGCACGGTCTCAGGCTCCCACCAGCAGCCGTGTCCCCTTTCTCCGGGTTCTTTGCCCCGGTGCCCCCCAGCACGTCTCACCCCGCGTTGGATACCTTCCCTTC